AAATGGACCGGCAAATCGTCTAATCGCACTCTGTTAGGTCATTTTATTTAGTAGGTTTCTAAAAAAAAAAAAAAAATGGTCTAACTATCGGCGCGGCTGAAAGGTTAATGTGTTGGATCTAGATCTTCAGTCCCAAGATAGTGAATTGCCGGCAAAGATAAGTATCCAATCATAGAGTGAAAAAATCTGTGGCTTGGAGCAAGAAGGGCCAATGTCACTTTTTGCAACTTTCAGAAAATGAGCTTTAAAGTTTTTATTTTCCATTAGGCTCTATGTTAATTTTTTTATCAAACTCTTCATGAGTAATTCATTTTTTGGTCTCAGAGCGTGATTATTTCACAGTATATAAAGAATGATTCAATTTTTGCAATGAGCGGACTAACTCGTTTATGCACGAAATTGACATTGGCCCTTCTTGCTCCAAGCCACAGAAATATATAGAGCTCCAACATCATATTATACCAGGTGGTGGCCATATGATAATATATTTGAAATGATACAGGTACTGATATACAGTGTTGCCATATTACTAATAATTTACTATTATATACAGACTTTAAAGGTTTAATCAGTAAATAATATCACATATTAAATTATTTGTATCATGTTATATTATGCTGTCAGCTAGTTTATTGATTTCAACTAAAGCCGGATTGCCGCCATTAAATTATAGTTGACTCATATCAAAGTATATGCTAGAATTAGCAGTGGCCTTTCTTTATATTATCTACTCTACGCGACAGTGTGACCATATAAATACTTTTTCATTGTACAGTATAACCCTTACATAACTATACAGATCAAATTAGATAAATCACACAGAATTTATTGTTGCCTAAACTGCTTTCGCACATTTTGCCGGTAGGAAACCCAACAGTGTCGCCTGAAATAAGGGGAAAATGGTAATTATCTTCATATACTGCCTACCCTGATTCTCCAACGGGGATCCCCAGACTTTAGTGATCACCTGTGTCTGTCATAACTGATAAGCAATGTGCGCCGGGGAAATGTAATTTCGCCGTTATGGTAACACTGCAGCTCGCCCTTTCGCTTGCTTCATAATATTTGCGTTGTTCCTGCGTTGAAACCGAGCTCGATATCATTTATAATATGAACGTTGAGAGAGGTATTAATATAATAATATATTGTATTGTTTCTCAGAGACACTGCACACTCGAAACGGCCAGTACGTGTTACATCATTTTGTTTGTTCTGGAAACAAAAACGGTCTTACAGCAGGCACGTAGGTACCTATTGTTTAAACGGTGAAAAGATGGCTGCCGGTAATGGCTGGTATTCCACCAGAGTGGCAATTTCGCTGAATGTTTTTCCTTCTTCGTTTTCGCCACATGTGCCGTTTGTTTCCGTGTGAACAAACATAATGATCATTTTTTTGGAGGGGTACTAAAGTATAACGGTTAAACGCTGTCGGCCGTTATACATGGCTGGGTTAATTAATTGACACTAATATTATGTACCGATAATAGTAAATAAACATAAGGAAATAAGGGTAGAGAGGAGGACACAAACAACATTGATGTCAAATCTACATACATCAATACATTCTAATGATCACTACATGTAAGATTATTAAACCTGAATTATTGTTATCAGTTTTAGATGTTTTTGATAAGACTGCTATGTTGTTATTGTAATATAATGTATGTGAACAATTACGGATAATTTATTATAAAGTAATTAAGACTACAAAAGGGATAGTGGAAAACAAATCCTATGACTCGAGGCACACAGCGTTTGTTTTGTATTGTAGCAATTTCTTTTGTATGAAAACTGTTATCAATTATTCTTATCATATATACTGTTATCACTATTATGAATATAAAATGTAATATACTTAACATACTTATTGTAATAAAAGTGTGTTTATAACACACTAATTTAAATGTGTATTAACAAAATTCATTTTTTTGAAAAACCCTAAAAAAATAGATACAATTTGTTATTTTGATCGGTATCACTATTTATAATTAAAATAACTCTTAAGGTTTTCAGTTGTTGTTGACAGTTATTTGGGACATTTATTTCTTGTTATGAGATCAGAGAGTCAAATAAAATTACTATGCCTGCTACCGGCCACCTTTGTCACATAGGTTGACGTTTCCTATGTTTTCTATGACCTACTTATGTACAAGTAAAGTGCGATGAGGTATCTTGATTTGCCACAGAGCCGCACAATGTTTTTCAATACTGTCCTTGTTATCTTTGTACTTGTAGGTGTGGTGCAAGGTAATCAAAGGAAACAATAGGTTACGGGCAATCTAGAGACTTTGCACTTAAACAAAGGATGTTAGCCGTCAAGCAAAAAAAAATATATATTGTTTCTCTTTATATCTATTATTAAGATCTAACCTAATTGCGCTTTATTCTAAAATTATATTAGTAATAACGATTAAAAATACAACACAAAATTGTAGAAACTATTTCAAATTTTTAATATATTATCGTTGTAAGCAACTTCTCGATACTAACAAGTGTTTGTTTCTATTTTTAAAAATAAAATTATCCATCATTTGTGTTCATGTTTAATGATTTTCAAATAGCATCGGTTTGGTTTGCCCACATTCAGTTTTACTATAAAAAGCGGCTCTTACTGTTTAAATTAATTACATCATTTTAAATGTTATACAATTTACACTATTTGAGCTGTTTGTGCTTGAAATTCCATTTTTTTTTTTTTGAAAGAAATTTGATTCGTTAAAAGATAACAGTATCAAAGGAAAAAAGAAACTCATTAAGAATGACATAACAATGATGGAAGCAGGAACATCATTAGGCGTATAACAAGAATTTTTTTAATTAACTATGGTAAAGTGTGTATATTTGAAGAGAGAAAAAAATAATTAAAAATCAACAAGACTTAAATAAGTGTTGAATAAAAGGTATGGCTTAGTTTTTATATTTCTTTAGGATTTAAACAATTTTGTCTTATTTCCTGTAGCGACACATGATGTATACTTTTGTAAAATAAATGAAATGATCATATAACTGTCTTCCTTTGAACAATTAACAAGGAATATTAATCATCGACTTTGACAGTTAATGCTAATTAATGCAAAGAAGATTTGAACTGACGTGAAATAATAATTTAACTTTACCAATTGCGCGGTTTACGTTTAACTTAGACCTTCAAGGGTATTAATAATGTTGTGTTGATATATTTTATAACTTAATCAAAACTTCATCATCGATTTTGGTTAAGTGCACACACACGAAGGGAGAAAAAAATAGATGTAGACAACAGAAATGTATTCAAATTTGACATAGACTGACAATGGGGGCTTAAGGTTTAAGCGGAGGGCACTGAGCCAGTCGTTCTCTATAGTACAACATCAACGTGGGCACGAACTCTTCTTGTACCAGGTCTAAGATTTCCGTTGAATACGGTAGCGTGACTCGGTTGCCGGACAAAGTCTTAGTTTTCACCAACCGCCTGCTCAAGTACTTGACCGTGTAACTTCCTATGTCCGGATTGTACTTGGACGAGTACCTTTTCAGTATCCGGTCGATGGTGTCCTCCAAGCAAACCTTAAACCATGACGGCCAACTATTGGATTTTTGTGTAGACTAACCCGGTCTTAAGACATACACATCTCTTATCTCTTATCTCTCGTATCTTATCAGATAAATCATCAGAAATTCTCGTCATAAGTTTTGTCGTTTGACATTGTTAATATCCGGTTTACCTTGATTATTGCACTGCGGTTTATCAGCGGATTCGACAACCGCACTAAAACCGGCCTTTTTGTTTCCATGCCAACGTTGTACTTTTGGTCTTGCCACCAAGGACTGCCCGTGTCCGGCATCCAGCGGACGTCCGGTTCGGGGTCCGGAGCATGCGGTATGCGGTACGGCAGAACCGACACTCGGAAACCAGTCTCCGGATGTAGATAAGTTTTGAGCTAAGACAATATTTTGTTAAGAAATATATAATTGATTTTTATTTATTGCCACCGAACATGTTCCATACCACCTCGTCGTTTCATAGACACTCAATATTCTCTTATCACTTATGTGTAATCTTTTAGCTCTAATATCTTATCACTTATCTCTTATCTTTAATATCTTATCTCTTATCAGATAATTATTTATCAGTTCTTTCATTTAAAAAACAACGGCTGTTCTATTTCAATAGTTACCGTCGGGTTGAATCCACTCGGTTCGAACCAAAACGATATGTCTTTGCCGGCTTCGGCCAACAAAGGTCGCACCAGCTCGGTGTCGTAGTACTCGGCGATGAGCTCTGTGATGTTTTTCACCACCCTGTAAATCACAACCCAACAATCTTGAGCCGTACAATGACTCAGCACCTCTTCGGCTAGGAAATAAGTGTCACGCCACGACGCCATTGGCTAAAAACTATCCGCTGATCGAGCTATCGTCGACATTATTATTGTTTGCTCACTCGTTTCTATAGGGACGACAAATTGTGTAGTTGAACAGCATTTAATGTACATTTACTACATAACTTGAGTTATTCAACTGTGCTTCTGGTGAGATATTCACTGATAATGTTTCCATATTGTTGAAATAAATTCGCCCTCATCGGTTCTGTAAAAAATGATATTATTAGCATGTAAAAATCGTTATGAATTGAAAAGGTAAACTGCAGTGTGACATTAACGACGAAATTACATTTCTCTGGTACACATTCGATACAACTGATATGGCTTATCAGTAATTATAATGATAACACATTATCACAAAAAATTGGAATGTATCTATTAGTTGATAAAGATTATACTGTGTTTAAAAACTTAAAAAAAAAAGCTTTCTTGATTGCTTTGTTGCAATTCATGTTTATTCTATGGTTTAAAGATATATGGGTGGTGTGTAAAATATTCTATATGCACGTATAAAAATGAACGTTCTTACTGATAATAATGACGATTACTGTTATTTTCTCGGTGAACGTTTTTTTACAAACGTGCCACCCGGTTGTTTGCAATTAAAGTAATGGATTTTATTGTGTGTTGTTGCAGTGTCCGACTTTTCGCAAGAACTGTCCCAGATGTACGAGCAACACGCGGCCGAGCTGCAGCTATTGGTCACGAACTTTCGCAAGAAAAACATGGATCTCAAGAAAGACAGGTAAACACAGCAGAGGCGGGTGATGCTGTATTTTCACAGGGGAAAGCGAATTGTGCGCACAATTGCGGAGAAAGGGAGTTTTTAAAAACACTTTTTCTCTCTCTCCGAGCTTTTCCAAATGTAATTCGATATACTATTTTTACAACCCAACCGCCTTTGGGGAAATGCGATTCGTTCCAGTTTCCTGTACAACACCCGTCGAGATTGCAACGGAAAGATTGCATTCACAGTCGGTGCTTGTATTTTTTTTTATTTTTTTTTACAGACCTCCGTTTCCGAGCCAGTTGTTTTACACGTGGGAGACGTTCCTGCAAGAAGTGGAAACGGATTCGAAATCGATCAGTGACGTGGCCAACGTGCTCAGCCGACAGGTTTCCAGACCGCTTTTGGATAGATCTTTTCACCGAAAGGTTCAATCGCGCAAAGTGTTCAGCCAGAGAGATTCGCTGGAGACAATCTTACAGAAAGCCGAAGACAAACTAGCAAAGGTTAGACATCGGTCGATCGATAATAATCCTTGCGGATTGTACACAACATTCGAGACTAATATGATTAAACTGTCAATAAAAAGGGTCCAAAGAGTTCGACATATTATGTATATATATATATATAAGTCTGGAACCTTATGTACCCTTATTCGGCTGCTTTGATCATAAATGTACATTGAAATCAAACAACTTGATTCCAAATTTACAATTTATATATTGCAAACAAAATGATTGAAATTGCGTGTACAGTGAAACATAGTATGTTTGTTTTCATTGTACAATTGCACAACTATACGACTTACTCGGTTGTTAATGGAATGAGAGACAGGAGGAGGAACTGGATCATTTAAACGAGAAGTATATTTTAATTCATGTAGGTGTATTTTTTCTATCTGTTCTTCAATCTATAACATAGTGAGAGGTGACTCTAATTCACACATCTTGGACTATGTCTTCCCAATCCGCCATTTGCAATTAACATTGTCATTATCTCTGGTTTTTGTTCCACTTAAAAGTACTTTCTATTTGAAGTAATACATTAATTGAAAATATACCGTTCCGGATTTATGTGTAACACGGTTATTATAATATATGGACAGTCAATTAGGTATGCATGTTATATTTTAAATGAAGAGGTGGGCCCCTTTTATTTATGTCAAGCTGAACAAATTAGATTTAGTCAAATATTTTCACGCTATATTACCATCAAAGAGGGTCATTTGAAATTTCAACGAATAAATCTGCAATAAAGTGCGATAACGGCTGATGTCACTTTCTGACCAAATCAAGTCAGGAATATTTATCATTCGAGTTTGAGCTCCGAGTACAAACTTTTCGTTGGGCCAAACTTCATTTTACATATTTTGCATATTATTAAAAGGGTCGACGCAAACACAATACATGTTCAGTAAACTAGTTTATTTACAAACAACAATTCCTTTGACATTAAACTTTCAAATTTTTTTTTTTTTTGGGGGGTATATGTAATATTTAAATATATATTAAAAAAACATGCACGTACATGCATTGAATATGTATAAAATAACTTACCGGCGGCCAAGTAATTCACGTCACATGAACTCTGACTTTATATTTTCAACTTGCGAACGGGATGCCCCAAAACAATATGCTAAGATATGATATTTGGCTTCGGTTGTTTGGGTAGATCATTGAAAATTCACTTTGAAAGCGCGGCCTGATTGTGAGTGCGTCGAGTTGTGCTAACTAAATTCTAACTCGAGTTATTTATGACTTTGTTAGTGTTGCTTATGCCCAAGTAAACTCGGGTGTACATGTTAAAGTTTTATCGCATCATTATTTTCATTTGAACACTATTTGTCCCTGCTAAGTTCTCTGTAAACTCTGTAATTTGTTACCATACCCGCGGTCTATATGATTACACTCAAGAAAACGCATTATGTCTAGTCATGCGTCCAAAGGTTTTAACTGATGATACCACACACTGTGAGTTGTTGATTTTGTGTATCAACTGCTGTATAGATCCTCTATTCCCTATTTCAGCCTTTGACGTTTGATAACCAACAGGAGGGCAGCAAATTGTAGAATTCATGATAGAATTAAGATCTGTAAATGTCATTAGCTGCATTTGTGCCATTCCATTATGATGTGTTGACAAAAACCGATATTGTGGCTTTTTACAGTGCAGGGACGACTACAAACGGGCGTTTTTAGCCCAGCTGTCTTCTCCCAACAGTTCAGCATCTTTATCTTCGTACCTTGACTCTCACAACGCCTACGTGACACAGCTGCACGCCACCAACGGTATGGTCGACCAATACAACCAGTACGTGTTACCGCAACTCCTACAAGTAAGCACGAAACGTTTGATTGGTCCAGTTTGTGAACTATTGTCTTAATCTCCATCGCTGCCTTACAGGAACTAGAAGACGTATATTCGGATCTGTGCCTGTCCTTGTCGGACTCTGTACTCCAAGGATCCGACATTATAAGCAACAAGGTGAGTGAACAAACAACGGATTGTTTTACACTTTGCTTCCCTAAACTAACCTATCTTGTCTGAATATAACCTAAATCTAACTCTGACTTGAACAGCAGAGTGGAAAATTGATTCATTTAAATTTAACATCTGATTAAACTAAATAAGTTTCACCGTGACATTATTATTGTTAAATTCTATTTGTGTTAAGTTAACAAAACGTAAGTGGGGTTACCAAAGTGGTTACCTCGATTCCAACGTTCTCATTGGCTATTAAGATATTATGTGATAACTAATAAGTGATTGTATTATTTAATTTGACAGTTTGTTATTATTTGACATTTTATTTTACTTTCTTTTAACGTTTCCGGTTTATATAAATAATTTATAATTACTTTTTTAACACATTGTTTAGTGGTCATTAAAATAATTTTTTCTACTTTGAAGGCCTAAAAAAAGAAGTAGGTAGTGATAAGAATTATTTCCATCGTTATACTCAGGACAGGCAAGACATGATAATATTATCTAAACTACAATAAATTATGATATTTGAACCTATAATGGAGGTCTGTGCCGTTCCTTTTTACCTAATCTACCTACATAAAGCCACTTCTAACTAGCTCTGGAAGTAACTTATCGTAATCGTTTTTTTTTTTTTTTTTACACTTGCAGTCAAACGACCAGTCGAAAAGGTACAACGCTTTGGGGTCGCAATGCCGACAGCTACAGCCCGAAGCAGACATGGTGGCATTCGCCAGGTCTATGAATCCTTTGCCGACCACACCCCATCCGTCGCAAAGGACTCGCAGCTATTGTCCACCCCAGGCACCGGCCGACACCGAGGGCATGATTATAGACCCGGTAGTGACGGCAAGTATCGTTTTTTATTCGGGTCGGTGGTCGGTTATTATTTAATATTTTATTCTCTCTGGACAGGAAGCGATCACGCAGTTGGCTCTGAAAAACGAACTGGTCGTCGACAGACTGGCCAATTTGGACGTCAGAGCTGGATACGACACCATAAGAGCCGAGCTGATGGATCTCGAGTCGCAGATGAAACAAATACAAGATTCGGTTGAAACTCTCAAACGTCTACAGCAAAGGTTCAACAAATAACAGCTAATACTTCCGAACCGTCGATAAACATATAATGTCAGTCTCTTTAACCGTGTCAAATCAGATCTAGGGCAGTAGAAAGAATAAAGCTCGATGGGTTCTAAACCCTCTTGTACACTTGGAGGAAAAAAGGGTCAGGGGAATGCTATGTTTATTGCAAAAGCTACCACAGGCACCACAATTTTCTTTAAAAGATATTTCCATGAAATTGAACCGTCTAATTATTATTATTTCAACGTCCTCCCCTCCCCCCCCCCATTTTGATTCAGGTCGATTTGTGGAAGGCTTAGCGGCCGTTCCTAACTAATTACTTACTTAAGTCAATTTCGACTGTCAACGGTATTGACGTTTGCAAAGACCGTTCTCTTCGGGTCTGATTTCCATATGGCAATGCGCGCAAACTCAGACAGTAATTACTTTTTCTTTGTTTTTTATATTGTTTATGAATTAATATACAGTATAGTCTGTGTATGCTATAGTGAAGCAAACAGAACGACCGAAACCAATATGACCACAGAAAAGAAAAAAAAAGCAGTAGAAGGGACACTTTTAAAGTAAACAAAAACGTGACGGCCATGTTGAAAGGGCATACAATGACCGTACCCTTAACTTTTCTTATCTATTTATCACTATCAGTTTAAAATATTGATATTACGGTTTGTATTTTATGGAATATATTTGTTTAAATTAATTATAACTTAAATTTTTTAATTGTTAATACATAATATAAAAACCCCTCTTAAAGCAATTTTTCTAGTCATTAAATAAATTATTGTTTTGACTTTCGTATACAAATTATATTCTACTTTTAGTTTTGCGCAAATGGTCACACTGTGACGCTCTAAGACTACGGCCGTCGCGTTTTTATGTGATAAGTATCTTCGAGAAACTGTTATCATTGATATCTTATCACCACCGTATATTATTTCCCTTCTAACCAAGTGGACTTACTTTAGCCCTTCTGTTTGCTTTACACCAAAACTACTTGGCTGGGTCTGAAGGTTAAAAATTGCAGTTGTGTCATAATAAAGTCTATCCTTACAAAAGTAAATCCGAGTTATATTTTTGTTATAAATTGTGGTTTTTCTTTTAGATCTAAATTCTAAAGCTTTACTGACAAACTCATGTGGACGCAACTGTTATCGTGTCATATTTTTGAAAACGTTTCGACAAAGTTAAGCTTTGTTGTGCTCGCAGGCGAGATTTGATTACATTCAGCAGTAGGTACAGGGGTGGTATGTGTGGTGGTGTTTGATGCGAGACAGGCTTGATGGCGTGCCAAGATTTATTAGCATTTAGTGTGTGTGCGTGCGTGGGAGAGATACAGAGAGAGAGAAAAATAGGGAGAATAGCCATTTGACACTGTGACGTGTAGGTAGAGTTAACTCTGTATATCTAAGTGAATGCGAGCATATTAAATTCGATTCACGTGTGTCGGCATGACGAATTATTCAGTTTGCTTCGGCGGTATATTTTGCCCAAAACGTTTGTGGCACATCCAAAGGCGGCAAGTCCGGTCGATAATTTTGGAAACGAGCCAAGTTCGACTTGTGTCTGCGAAAAACGAATCATCATCTGTCTGGGCACTTGCTTAGGCCTTGAGCAATGTGTCATCGAGTTATTTTTAAGAAAAAATCATTCTATTCTCTCCTCCTGACTCGACGACAGAGTCCAGTGACGTTTGTCCAAGACCATCCACTTTTCATGTTAGCCTAAAGGGCTTTTAAGATTTTACAATTGTTTTATACTCATTTTAATACTCATAATTACTTTTAAAGTTATTTAAGTTTGAAGTGTAGGAGTGCTGTAGAGTGATGCGTGCAGATAAAAATAACTATCTACCGCATTCCACCTCCCATCCTACCCTTTAATAACTTAAAACTTAAATAATCCAAAACTAGTTATGGACCAGTCAAAACTCTCAGCAAATTATCATCAATAAAATGGATATCTTGAATTTTTTTGTAAAAATGTAACAAAAAAAAAAAATGTTTTAAAAAGTAAAACAGTTAAGTGCAATAAAAAACGTGGAGCTTATAGCGCAAACGAGTGTAAATTAATTTTAAAAAAAATATGTATATTAAAAATATTAACTAGAACAAAAGTTATTTATCTTTTTTGGGACATCCTGTATATAATATACAACTATAAACTGTAATTGAAAATAAATATAACCTAAAAAATGCTTTAAATTTTGTAACAAGATATTATTCAGCTTTGATTTGTCATTTTTGTTTTGATATTTTTGCCCTTTATATGTACATTATTTAGTTTCATGTATGTTTATTCATTATTTTAGCTAATATGCAATGATTGTCCATAAATAAAAAACTAGTCAACACTAATATAATAAGAAAATAGGCAAGCTCTTATTGGAAATTTCTATTTTATAGCTTGTAGAGTTCTACATTATTGTACATAGGTATCTATTAAATAGATTCATTATGATTTTCATACAGTATAATACTACATTATACTGTATAATATATATATTTTTATTTGTATTATAAAACTATGACAAACTGATTCACAACGAAATTCATTATGTATATCAATACTGTGACAACTTTATTAGATGCTTTTAGATATCACTTCTAATAGAAAATCCGAACTTTTGTCAGCCATACCATTAACACTAGCAGTTCTTACACCAAATCATAGAATTAATCAATTTATATTATTTTATTGACGGGCTTACATCAATTATTGAGATACAAATAAAATTGATGTCACATTGTACATCTTGAGTATTTAATTTATATTATTTCTTTTGTATATTGGCTATCTTGTTATATACAATGAGTACATAATGTAATGTGTATTGTGAAAACATGATTCCAAGTCTAGATTAACAAAATTATTTGATTCAATACTTAAAGCGGTACAACACTTAATTATTCCAAGACTTTTTATCGCCTTAATTTACAACGTAGCCAATATCATGATTAAAATATGTTAATTTACTATCTAAACACACACTCAAATTTTTTTAGTTGTAAAAGCTGTTACCACAAACAAGCTGAACGTTATATTTTAACGATATTATGTTGTTACTAATTAAAGCTATTGTCGTTGGTAAATGTTAAGTGAAGTTTTGAAACTTAAGTTCGGCTAACTACAAAATAGAAGTTGTTTTAATCCACTCAGAAGTTACAAATAATTAACTTAATGTAAAATCGAAGTCGTTAAGCTGTTTCTGATAGTTGTGTTATCATTACAAAATGTAACACTGTGCCGTTGCACTGTTAAATATATAATATAATTACTTTTGTTTGACCATATTTTGTATAGTTGAATTTATCAAAATGTCACTTATGTTTAAGACTTAAAATCGTTTGGTCAAAAAAGAAAGAAAGAGTATTGATTAACCGGACAAGAAAATGTAATACAAAATTTATATTTGTCCCAAATTGCTAAAAAAATTACTTAAGTTTAAAAATGTTTTCAAAATGACAAAAAAAAATGGTTAACATCATACAGACATTTTATCATTAAGTTATTAACAGGACATTATGGTTTTCAAAAATATTGTTTAAGTAAAGTGCTGTTAAACTATTTCCAATATTGTACTAATATTTTAGTTATTATTATGATCATTTTTTGCTTGTTTTTAAAATATTCGAACAGAATTTTGCTAAAAATGCTGTCCTGAAAAAATATGATTTTAAATAATTGACAAACGTTTTTAAAAAGATTAACGTTTTTTTTTTTGTTTGTATTTAATTGATATTACTATTTAAAAGACGTTTGTATTACTAGTGCTAATCTGGCATTGCAGCCTTTTAAATTATATCATACTATTATTTGGTAGATGTATTGTATTGGTAAAGTCTAAGTAAAAAATATATATATAATGGTAGGTATCTAGATAAAATAAACATATTTTATAATGTACAAATTTATAAAACAACATTTTAGATCAATTACTAACCAAACGCCACTGTTATATAATCCAATTCATTATCACTAACACGTTTATGTATGGTTTATACGGTTTTATTTATATGTTTCAAATCGTTTTTATACTTAAACATGTACAGTGTGAGTTTCTATGTATTTATCATGTTTAAGTTGTCCAATTTCAATTTATATAGGCCAATTTTTTTAGAACTATTCACATTACAAAAAAAATGTAACTAATTTCTCATTGCAAATAATTTTATAATTTAAAAATCGCCTATCAACAAGAACTTAACTATTTTTTTGGGCAAACAATTATTGTAAACAGATTTCGATTATCTTTTGAAACGTTTGAGTGTTTTATCGTTTTGATTAGTGTGTTTGGCGCCTAAACCAAATTTTATAATGCTTAATGAAAACCTATAAAAAGTAAAATATTTAGACAAGTTTTTAAAATACACTTTACAGGTATTTCTTGTGGTTTATCACAAGCTTTATAATATGTTTTTAGAACATGAACCAAACAAGATGCACAATTTAAAGAACTGTTAAACTATTTTTGAGAACAAACTAAATGCACGGTTAATGGATTTGACATTATATTTATCAACGTCATAACTTATATGTTCAAATTGTAAAACGTTTTATCATTTTTTAATCTATTTTATTAATACAACATACTGGTTTTTTGTTTTTCGAAAAAGGAGCCTAGAGCAATCCATGTTCAGCAAAGCCAACGAGATTCAAGAGGACATAAGTATCAAGAAATTCGAATTCAGGACAGCGCAAATGCACTTGGCAGCCATCAAGTCCCAGGTGAGTACTTACATGACACTTAGATAGCGCATCAGCTGGTTTCAATCACACTATCGCTGCTTAATATATTTTTGTCAAGCTTCACTTTATATTTTATATAATGGTAATATTACATATTACCTTTCCAAGGTATAGCATTAAGCATAATAGCACATTGGATAACATGTCTTGGATTATAACACCTGCTTGAAATTTAAATTCATAAAGAGACTTGCGAAATTTACCAGATTTTTTTTTTGCAGCAGTTAAATTTCAGCTATACATAAAGTCAAATTGTTAGGGTTTTGGATTTTCCAATATTATAGCTATTAACATGTCAACGACCTAGGTAGAGTAACTATGAGCCATTTTTGGTCAAATTGTTGAAGTTTTTATTATTTTAAGGCCAATTCAATTAGACTGTGTACTTTTTTGCAAGACACCGATATATACAGGGTGATCCAACGTAAGACACACATTTTCTCTAAGGAAATGTACTATCTTTATAAAGTCATAGCTAATGTACAGATAAATGAAAATAAAAAATTCAAACGCTAACATATTTTTTAATTTTTTGTCTACAAATTATGTAGTTAAAAACATATGTTGCCATTAAAAAAAAAAAAAAAATCACCCTTTTTGGACTTATAGTCCTTATAGGACTGGTGATAACAATTTTCAAAATATTGAAAAATGTAGTAAAATATGTACCTAAGAGTTGAGGAAAAAAAAATTCTCAGATTATTTATGTTTTCAGAGAAAATGAGTGTCTTACGTTAGTTGGATCACCCGTACATACAAATTAAAAAATATATAAGGCTTTGAGAGAAGTATCGACCATATTATGCTTATTATATTTACCATGATTGATGACGAGGCTATTCTTTTATTTATTTTTTTCAGTATATCTTCATTTGTAATTTTTTTTTAAATATATATATATATTTTTTATTACTTTAAAAATACTTTTTTTTATGAGAACATAATATATTAAATAAAAAATTGGTGTAGTATTTTTTAATTTTAATTTTACAGTAACGACGGTATTCGAAAATGTTATATTACACCAAATCGTTAGACAAGTTTGTTTGATTATAATTGCCGAGTAACTCAAAAGGAAAACGATGAATCTTACAGGACAATATAGCCCGTTTATAAGCTACCAAATTTGGAGGGGGGAAGAAGGTCCGAAAAACAGGGATAAACCCCGTTTTGCCTTTGGGAATTCCCGAGACGAATGCGGACAGTGTTTTACTCGCCGGATAGGTGTACATTATACTAGTTGTAATTTATACTGGCACACGGAAAAACCCCGGATGAACAAGGGGGGGGGGGTGCCTCCTAGTCGTTTAGTTTATAATAATATTACAAAACCTGCTGAAGTCGCCAAATTAAAGGGCACCGCTGGCGCCATATAGGATCACGAGACAAATACCTTTTTTTTTTATAATATTAATATCAATCTCCTCGAATAACCGTATATACCGTAACCACGGTAACCGCCGTGTACCCGGCGTGACCGACAATTACGTTTTATATATATATATATATATGTACAGCGGTTGTATTTGTGTTATATTATTACACGGACACAAGACTCGACCACCGCCGGCTACTATTAGTATATATAATAATAATAATATAAGGGCGAGGCTTTGCTATTTCCCTGACATTATTTTTTCTTAATTATAATTCAACGAAATATATCCCAAAATCTTAGAATTCAGGACACCAAAGCTCGCGAAATTCTAATATTATGTCTCCAAAGGCATACCAGCCTATGATATAGGCTATTATATAGGTTATGATGATGACACCACATAATAATAATAATAATAATAATATATGATAATATACAAGACCTATATCGATTATATTAAGTAATTCTGCACACTTTGAACAGATTTGTGTTTTTTGGTCACCTCTAACACACAAATTGGTGCCTCGTGCCAACGGTTTGAGTATGGATATAGTACAATAGAGTTTTTCTGTTTAATTATATTTTATTGGTTGTAACTTAAATAGGAAACAAACTTCAGAGCGTTTATCGTCCACTGTTCGTGGCATTAATTGATGTAATAACTCTAAAAACCGTCGATGCGTAATGGCCGGGCTTACAATCATACTTTTTACACCCAACACCGCTGTTGTTTACCTTCAGATTTAACAACAACAACTCAAGCAGATCAATACACGGTTATGGGCATTCCTAACCGGACAGGCGTTGCTGCCGGATGGAATCTGTTTCAATTAAGCTGAAAATAAATTGCATTTTTAGCAGATTATCCATAACTACAAATGTAGCCATTTCTTTCTTAATTATTATTGTAATAGGGTTTAAAGTAAGCCAGCAGCACCATACAGCCTTGCCATTGGAATTTTTTAGATCTTCAACTTTGAAAAGAAACTAATGCCAAGTACTCAAGTTGTTTCCGACGAACATTCCTTTTTATTTTCAATCAGCGTTGACAAAGTTATTGTATTATTGTAATCCGAATCCGCTGTTATGACTCTCGTGGCTTATAATCTGAAATAGTTAGTCCAATGGTCGTCCAGACTGAATCCCTCGTGTATATCTTATAATATACTACATAAAGATCAGCAGCACAATATTGTCTACACGCGCTCGGTAGTTGTTTAATGGGGTTCGACCTTGGCCCGACATAATGACAAGTGCACGAGGCCGGTCTGTCGCGGTTCAGTCAACCAAAATGGTAGTTGTATTTGATGCCGGCGGTTTGATGACCGATCATGGTTGTAATAGCAATGAAATTCGGCCAAAGACAGCCACTAAATGATATGATAGTATTATAATAATAATGTACAACAGACACGGCCGGTGGAACACGTGTCGACGGCAGCGACTTAACTCAGCCAATCGTCGTATCGTTTATTTCGATTTTTGTTAAGAGCATCAACCCTTTTGAATAATTTAGTAGTACTCAACGTTGGCTCATTCTCGTGCGGATTTTTTGATTAAACTACTTTGCAAAAGTAAACGGAACAGCTTGTATAACATGGGTGCAACTATAAAAGATAGCTTCTGGCATAGCCGTCTGCGACCAACGGATTAAAATGTACTTAAAATTAGCGCATACAAACACCATCATGGTGGGACCGAACATAAAAAAGAGCAGTTAAACGAAATTGACAGAATGCCTGTCCTCAGACCGTAAAGTTCGACAAGATTTAAGCGTATATTGGCCACATTAAACTACTCGAATACAATATCCCAAAGAATAGGCTTGAAAAAATATTATATTAATGATAGGCCACATATTACATTGTGGTGAAACCTCTGGCACCACCCCGGTTTAGCGTTTACCCTTAACGGTTTTGCGCTATTGCCATTGGCATAAATCATATTTTTCTCTAGCAATAAATTTCCATTTTTTCCCTTGTTTGCAGAGACTATAGACTACCGCCAATATTGTATGGATATTGTCTGACTTGTGCACCCCAAAAGAATGCCTACCCCAAAGTATTTTTGGTTTCGATTACTTGAGAATGTCCTTAGAGAAGTGCAATAACCAAGGGTGATTCAAAGATACTCATTTTCCCTTAAAATAATAGTAGTGTTTCTATTTGGAGACACTAAGTTCATGTTATTTGTGACTAATTAAATAAACTATATATTTTATTTAACTTGTTTAAACTAAGAACAATTTGCCAAAAATGTTGAAAATAATTCTCAATCCGAAAAGTCAATTAAATACACGTGTACGTTACCGTTAAGGTTTGAAAGGTTGATAGACGTTTTGGGAAAAAAAAATTGGAATTGAAATATTGTAAAATCACACAAACTAAAGCGTGGCAAAGAGGGTCGCTTTGAAATCAAGCGACAGAAGATATAGGACAATCTTTTCATCTTGTACCGTAAACATTCAGTTTTTTATACTTGTTATTATAAAATTATTTTTTAATTAATTCCCCGGCTCAGCGGCCGTTTCGTTATTATTTTTTAATCGCCTCCCCCGAGCCTCATGATGGCGGCGGCCAGAGATCTCCTTCAGAGACGTTCAATGGCCCCATCTTAATTAATCGGTTCTTTTAATCGAATCATTATTACCGTGAATTAATTACAGCAATTGGAAAGAACAGAGTGGTAGCAGCAGGAGGGAGGGGGGGGACGTTAAAAATTAATATTTATTTAGCTCAACAATGAAAAAACATCAATAGTAAGCCTCAGAGCAGAATTAGCGTCGTCAATCTATAAAAGATACTTACACGTGTGCCGACGCCCACACGAGCAGATTATTTTTGCATACACATTACAAACAAACACACACACACACACCGTCCTTTGAGTTAAGTCCTTTTACTATTGCTATGTCTTCTGTGTGTGTGTTCAATCAATTGTACCTACTTACCGTCGTCCTACGTTGGACGAACCCGGGAAATAATAATGCTACAATTGTATCTTTTACGGTCCCCGGACTCGTGTCATAAGTGCCCAAGAGCCATCCCTTGGGTCGTTCGCTATTTGGACACGTGTTGCATTATTAAGGTGTAAAACTAATTCCACTTTATGCACGGTAAAGGAACGCACCAGGAATTTTTTCGTACCAGGAATTCGCCCACAGTTTATCTCAGGGGAGGTGACAAATAAAATATATATAGTGGACGTTTAGCAAAGCCAAGCTACATTTAGAGGTAGCCCATGCCGTGTCCTTCAACTATATTATGTAACAATATAATTGAAAATCAAGGACGCGGGATAACACTGATACAGAGAGAGATCAATAATTATCTATTGAAAACGACGACTTGGATGAGTTGGATAACAGCATCGGAGTGACAAAAGTCGAAGTAGAAAGTGTCGAGATAAAGTTAAATTATAAATTATCCGAGCTCTATTTTGCAAAATCAATGCCAAAAGTTTGTGCGGTACAATAGCTCTCGTGTCCACTGCCAGATGTCGGTAACGTACACTTGGCACTATAATAATAATATTATGTGAAATGTACCTACACAAGCTCGTTTGGAGTATGAGAAAAAATTCGGATAATGGTTGATTTAAC